CTAACTGATTTTTGACTTTTTTGGTAACTAAGTAGCAATGCATTTTTCTTATATTCTGCACATGTGCATTGTCATGATGTGCTGTAAATTGGCTTTAAGTCATTGATGTCATAAGTATTGTGATATCAGTAGTATTAAACAGAGATACTGCAGAGATTTTTTCTACTGTTTAAAAACCAGCTTTGGATTAAAAATATAGGTGATATCCCAAATAAACCCAACCGTATAAATACTGAATATACTCATCTTACATTTGCAGACGGAAATTCTGTTAAATGTTGGGAAAAAAACGTAATGGCAGGATTGTGTATGACACTTTAAAGTAGTTCTTTATTTATTCGAATTTAAGGGTTTTTCTTCCCTGTTGTGTGCTCTTCAATGGATGCATAGTGGAAGTGTCAGACAAAAATGTACAAAACCACACACAAGCTAAAGAGGGAACTGAGTATCTTTCATGGAAATTGAAATTTGCCATTACACGTTGTATTTACAGTTTGTACCCTCCAAAACACACACACACACACCAGACACACACTTCATGCGCCACTGTGATGTGTGTAAGCGCTGATTGCAGAAAAGCACAGACATCCAGATAAAGTAAGACCAAAGCTTGAATAATTCATTGCATGGCTCCACCTTGGCCAACCCACACATCCTCCCCCCCACCCCCACCTGAAGCCACAGCTGATAGCAACACACAGTGGAGAAATAAATTACAACACTTAACCCTCCAGAAAAAAAACGGTAAATCACTCATCTGAGAAAAGGCAGGCACAAATAAAATGTGTCCATCTACGAATTCTGTTAAAATCCTGAACACGTTCTTTTGTCAGGGATGAATGAGACTCCGGGATGTTTGGGACACACTGATGTTATCTGCCTCATACGGGGCTGGATTGTGTTTGCCTTCATATTGTTCACGTATGTGGAGCTCAGAGTGGATTTGAGCTCTAAGATAGCGCCGGCTGTGAAGTGAAGAAACTGTCAGCTCTCCAAAGGACTTTTGTGTGGCAAGGGCAGGACTTGACCGATAGGAATGTGTGTGTATGTTTGAGGATTTTATGTAACGCTACACTATATTACACTAATATTTATTATTTGGGACAACTGACCATTTGCAGCAGCTCAATCACAAATGTCCCTTTATTGATTATTACTAGAGGTTCCTTTTTTCTTCATGCACTGTTTTTGTGGAGTTTACATATTTCTCTGCTTTTGTGCTTTTTACCAGTATTGTGCAGCTTTTTAAGCTGTCCTTCAGTGAGTTTTTATAAGTAGAAATACTATTTACATTCAAATGATAACATATTTATATAAATAGTATAAATAAGTAAATGGATTAAAGGAGAATGCTGAATTTTTGCCTCAACTTTACTGTTATTTGATATCCAACCATGTTCAAGAATTTCTTTCCCAAAACCTACATTAAACCGGTTAATCTTCATGGTCTTTATATTTTTGGGACAAAATGTTATTTTGTTTTCATTAAACTGTGTTTAAATTGTTAAAGTTTGTTTTAGAAAACTGAAATTAGCAAGCATCTGAGAACTTCTCTTGCTCTTGTTTCCTAGATGTTGCATGATTGATCTGTGGCGGTTTTTATTTAGTTGCCTGTTCAGATTATAACAGAATTCCATTCAGCAGTGCCTGTGTTAAATTGTTACTGAAGTCATCACTCCTGCACTTTATCCGCCTACTGTCTACACTTTCCATTTTTTAATGTTTGTTTTGTGATTGTTTTGTTGTGTTAATTTGTGGATGTGTGCTGCTGCCTTTCTTGGCCGGCTCACCCTTGTGAAAGAGGTTTCGATCTTAGTGGGTCTTTTATCTGGCAAAATAAACGTAAAATAAAATAAAAAATAAATCATCGCCAAGTGACAAAAGATCTGCTGTCAGTAAACTGAGTGAAACAACTGAGAAACAAGATAAAGCCAACTGCCTCATTGAGGAAGTAGGAAAAGTGGTTGTGTAACTGCAAATGGAGGCTCGTAATCCAGATTATTTTGACTAAAATAATCAATTAAAATACAATAGCATTTGTGTTAAAGAGAAATAAATCACAACGTCAAATTTTATTTTCTATATTTTGCACAAGTTTTGTTGTATTCGCAGGTCAACGCTGGCTTAAGCCTTTTCTCCTCAGCTGCTCATAAAAAAAAACAAAGATGTGTTCAATATGTATTTCCAGCTGGCCACTGCAGTGGAAAATACATTTGTATTGTAACTTTAGTCCTGTGTTATAAAATTAGTAAAGTTCAGATGTAGCCTCTGGCTCTTTATGAGGGAGTTCACTCTCTCAGCAGCACCAGAGGATTCTCTTTAATACTTAATTAGAGTTCAACTGAAGTGCCAGAGCAGAAGAGGATCTCAGGTTATATTCAGGCATTTTGTTTACCGTAACCATCTGTCCACAAGGCTTTACTTCACACTTCAGGAGTTTCAGGCAACATAAATTCAATATTGTTCGATGAATTCATTGATTTTGATGCTGTTTGGGAGACTGGCAAAGTGAAGCCAAAACAAACCCTGTCTATAGCTGCTTTTAAATTATTCCAGCAGGCGTTGAATTCATTAGGTTACTGTATATTTATTTTGCATTGTGATAGTTTTGAATATTTAATTTCACTTCAAGCTGGATTTCATTTAAGTTGTAACTGTTTGCTGTATGTGGTGTGAAGGACTGACACAGGCGGCTGGTTGGTCCACAGATGGCTTTGTAGATAGACAGCTTGTCTGCTGTGAGAGACTGGCTGACTTACACAAACACTGACTGTAGTGAAGATACAGGCATTATCTTGTAGAAAAAACAAAAGATGTTAAAAGACAGGTTCAGGATTACTTAAGTTTGCTTTTAAATCCTAAAATAACTTTAAACAAACTTAGAGAACAACTTTAAAAGGACTCCTGAAACTTCACGTGGGCATCAGCAGAACTTTTTTTTTCCAACTAGATTTCAGCAAAATGGGGCTTTTGCTCACAGGCTGATTATTAAAAGTTCACTCATATCTCACTCTCTGTTACTCTCTTTCCAGTGCGGACGAGCGGTTCGACGCCACGTTCCACACCAACGTACTGGTGAATGCGTCGGGTTACTGCCAGTACATCCCCCCCGGCATACTTAAGAGCACCTGTTACATCGACGTGCGCTGGTTCCCCTTCGATGTGCAGAAGTGTGACTTGAAATTTGGTTCGTGGACGCACAATGGCTGGCTTCTCGACCTGCAGATGCTGGATGTGGACACATCCACTTACATATCCAATGGGGAATGGGATCTTGTTGGTAAGAGAGTCTCTGTGTTTATTACTGCAGGAAAAGCCATCAGGACAGACGAAAACGTGATTGTCTGCTTGGATTGATATATTTTCAGTCAAAACCTATTTATACAATTACCTTTAGAGATTTATCTATCAAAGCACTGAAAACAAACTTTGAACAGTTTCTTTTGGGGATATCTTATTACTGCATTGTAAAAGTTGCTGATGTTTGCAGTGTGCCCCCACAGAATGCATTATTGCATTTGCATGATTTCAAAATATATAACAAAGCTAATGAAATGACAAAAGTGATGCTTCACAGCTACCTTCTGTTGAATGAATGACTGCTGTATAAATATTTTCACCGTGGGACACCATTTGGGTTGATTTAGCTGGTTGAACTGGAAAGGGTAGAATCTTTGGAAGACTTCCCAAGCAGTGTGTTTCCAGCTGGGAGAGAGTAGAAGAAGATCCCATCGCCAGGGCCCCTGAGGTGATGGTTAGCTGGAAATGGGTGTCAGGCAGGACCAGATGGCTTGCAATAGGGCTGTTTGACAGGCGTTGGCAGGCGAGTAGCCGGGCCATATGTGAGTGCAGCACACCACATCCCTGAAACTGGAGTTGAAGGTGAGAAAGTTGTACCATGAAATTTTCTAAATAACTCATGAATATTTTAATTTAAAAAAAAAGTTCAGTAACTGCAGGGAAAAGACTGTGTCTGGCTCAAATTCACTCCGATAGAAAGTTGTTGGGGGTCACGGAAATTAAATTCAGGTCAGTGAACTTTGATGTGGGGCATTACTTAAACTGTCCAGTAAATATTTACATCCATCTTTGCTTCTCTCTTCAATCCGTTCATCCACCAAACAGACCAATATTGCATTCTTACAGTTTTTAATTATGGTTATTTTGTCAGATGGAAATATAGTTTACAGGTACTTAAATCTTCAAATTGAATTACTTCTTCACTTCTTCAGTCCACAAACACTTATCTGTATGCTTCTCCCTCAGGTGTACCAGCCAAGCGTAATGAACTGTACTACGAGTGCTGCAAGGAGCCCTACCCCGATGTGACGTTTACAGTCACTATGCGCCGCAGGACTCTATATTATGGACTTAACCTGCTCATTCCCTGTGTGCTGATCTCTGGCTTGGCTCTGCTGGTTTTCCTTTTACCTGCAGACTCCGGAGAAAAGATCTCTCTGGGTGAGAGAGATGCTGAACACACATAGAAAGCTTAGCAGATACATTAGTAATGGTGTTTATGTAAGCCAGCAACAGGTCACTGTCAAGGTTGTTTGTAATGTCAATTTAGCTTTAAAAAATATATATATAAGTGCAAGGTTGGTTTTAGGTTTTTTGAAGAAATTTACAAAACTTTAAAGGTCTAAAGACATTCATGTTTACACAAGCACAGTCACAACTGTGCATCAAAGCATAAAAACAGTGCACTCACATGGCTGCATATTTGTCTACAAAAACATCCCTATTAATCATATATCAAACCATGAATACATGCATGTCACACCACCTTGGAAAAATTGAATTTCAAAATAAGAGGTTTGCCACTAAATCCATTCCATCAGTTCAGTGACTTGATAAATAACCATCTGTCGATGAGCAGTCACCAGTTACAAAGTCAGAGTGTTTTAGGGATTTCTGGAGCGCTAACCTACCTTGGACTTGTCAGATCTGTCAACGGCTGACAAATGGTTGTCGTCAACGAGAACATAACTGATTACATACATAAGTAATTACAGGAATAATTTCATACGCCAGTGACCCTGATCACGTCATTACATGTATATGCTGACGTTCTCTCTCCCTGTGTCTCTCTCAATCTCTGTCTCAAGGCATCACTGTGCTGCTGTCGCTAACTGTCTTCATGCTTCTGGTAGCAGAGATCATGCCTGCCACGTCTGACTCGGTTCCTCTCATAGGTGGGTTACATTTCTGTGTCTATGTGAGTAAATGTAAGGCGTTTAAGTTGAAAGTAGATACAACATACATTACTGATCAGCTGTCAGTCTTTCTGATGGTATTTCTTTGGCTGCCAAACATGTATTAAATGCTTCTGCCTGGCCTCTGTATATAATGTATAGTGTCTCCCGGAAAAACAATAAATACAAAGCATCTCTGGCTCTTCCTGGGCTTTGCTTTGAGTAGCCTGAGGGTGTCTATACATAATTCTCAATGCAGCTGGGTAGTGGATGGACTTGATTAGGTGGCCATAAATAAACCTGTCAGCACCCTTAATAGGTGGTGAAATATCTGATTTTCCACTGAGGAGGAAAGAAAAGAATGGAGAGCTGTTGATGTAATGTAGAAAAAAGGACAAGCGATAGCAGAGGGGACCTTTGGGGCTAAAGTTTGTATTGAGGAAATGTGGATCACCGAGCCACAAAAAGAAGAATTGTGTCTTTTCTTTTCGTTTGTAGCGTGTGCCTGAAACACAGTTGAAGCTGTCATATGCAGTATATTGTGTGTGTTAAGAGTGTTTCAGTGGAAGTAGAATCAACAGAATGATTAAACTGTTCTTTAAATTCTGAAGACCTGAACAGGTGGCGATAATGTAAACTCTTAGTTTCCTTGTTGACCTTGACCTATGTTCCTTTGCATTGCTGAATGTGGGAGTGAGTTTGAAGTTGACTGTAAATACATAAAGCAAGTTTTTAACAGCACCGCAAAAAAGTCAGGCTATATGTCTTTTTATCGTCAGTCCATTATCACCTGATAAGCAAAGTGTGTTCATTTCATTTAAGTTCATTTAGTCAGACCTGTCTTATCTGGTTCAAGACTCAGCTCATTTTAATTCTGTGCACTTCTAATACATTTTTAATTTGGTTACTTCAGCCATGAATAACAATGTGGTTTGTGACTAAAGGTCTTAAAATTATCTTTTAATATGCATTGTGTATTATGTTATTATGCATCGTTTCTTTGGGCAGACTCCTTTTAACTCTCCTTCCACAAACAAAACCAGAAATGACAGGTAGCAGCAAATGCCCTTCCACCTCTTACCCACACATCATTTCACACCGAGGACTGACCCCGACTTTTTGCCTCCCTTAAGCCTCTTCCCGTGTCTTTGTTTACTGTCCTCTGTACCACCTTGTTTCTAACCTTCTGCTCTTCCATCTTTTTTTTTTCTTTTATATGATCCTAACAAATAAGTAGCAACCCCTGAGCACATGAGGTCATGTCAGGTTTGACTTTGCTGGTGCTGCAGTCGCTGTAATCATGTTTGGCTGTTAGCTCTTGTGGGTTCACAGCATGTACATGCTGGGAAAGAGCAAGCCCTCCTCCTTACTGTTCCCTGAAAACATCCCTCCTGAACCAACCCAAATCTCTCTCTCTCTCTTTCTTTTGCACTTCCTCCCTGCTGTTTTCTCTGGTTTGTTTACCCCTATTCTCTGTTTTGTCACAATTTTTGAACCGCTTTTATTCACCCAGTTTGAGTTCAAGTGTGCATCTTTTCCCCTTGGCAATATAACTTATTGCAGACTGAGCAGACTTGCTGTCCTTACATGCTAAACTGTGAAATCAACCTATTTTTCCAGACTTCATTTAATCTTAATGTTTTACCTGTTAATGCATGCTGATTAAATGTGTCCACTGGGCAGTTAAAGGACGGCCAAAAGGGGAAAAACATTCAACAAGTAATAAAATGCATGACCACAGATGTAACTGTGAGCAAAAAAATTAAAAGCATGTTGATGTTTTCTGTGTTCTCAACAGCTCAGTACTTTGCCAGCACCATGATGATTGTGGGAATGTCTGTGGTGGTGACAGTTATCGTCCTGCAATTTCACCATCATGACCCTCATGGGGGCAAGATGCCTAAGTGGGTGAGTGACTGAAGCTAATTTAATCACACAAGCATCAAGATGTTTCACGCAAATGTTGATGTGAATGTGTGCCTGCTGATCACCTCTTTCTCCTCTTAGGTTCGGGTGGTTCTGTTGAATTGGTGTGCCTGGTTTCTCCGCATGAAACAACCTGGTGATGAGCGCAAGCGGCCTGGTTACAAGTACCGTCACACCACCCACCACCACTCCAGCACCAGCTCCATAGAGATGGGCACGGTACCGAGCCTCACTGTGCCCCTGTCACAGACGTCATGCCCGCCCTGCCCCACAGGCACCTCCAACGGTTCCATGAGCCTCTACTTTGGCAATTACCACCCCATAGAAAACCCACACTGCCCACCATCCAGCGACTCCGGGGTGGCACTAGGGGGACGCGTCCACGGTTCCCCCAGTGATGACGCCGAGCCACCTGGAGGGGTTGGCAGTGGCGTTGCAAGTCTGGGGATGGGAGTTGGAGCTGGGATGGGGGTAAGCATTCCCCCGCCAGAGATCCAACGCATCTTGGAGGAGGTGTCGTACATAGCGCAGAGGTTCCGGGACCAGGATGAGGCCGAGGCCATCTGCAGCGAGTGGAAGTTCGCAGCGGCGGTGGTGGACCGGCTGTGTCTGGTTGCCTTCTCCCTCTTTTCCATCATCTGCACCTTCACCATCCTCATGTCGGCTCCCAACTTCATAGAGGCTGTTTCCAAGGACTTCACATAACTGTTTGCAGCAGGAGGAAGGGAGAGGCTGTAAAATGATAACGAAGGGTTATGAGAGAAAGTGACAAAACAGCAAGGGGTGCAGTTGTTTGATAGGGTGGGCTTTTCAGTGTTTCATGAGAAAAATCACATCTTCAGAAACTTGGTGCAAATAGTAGCTGAGAGCAGTAAAAAGATACAGAATCGAGCTAAATCAGATCAATCAGGAAACTAAATATTCATCATAACCAACAATCTACATCATAAGAAACGCAAATTCATTTTCCCACTCTGTCCCTATGTGAGAAACAAATTATTCAGTTCTCAAACAAAACTAAACAAAACAACAAAGACACTGAAAAAGACTAGAAGCAAAATGTTTGGAATCAACAAGTGAAGTAGAGGAGTGCACTGTATATAGTTTTTTACATTAAGATATTGGTAAGGGAAAGACAATGAAGCCACTATTTGTCTTTACCCTGCAAACAGTGTAAATATCATTGTTTTATCTGCATTATTCATTTAAAAACAGCTTTATTTACTGTACAATGACACATATGGCAATACGGCCACCTCACACTGCTCAAACCTTCTGTCAACTGTTGCCGCCCTGGATGTACAAATCCACACGTATGTACAAGCTCCACCTCAGTCTGAGCTCACGCATCCACTGTTAACCTTTTGAACTCTTCATGTCAAACTCACAGACTGTTCATAACGATGCTCCATCCCCTTGTAACGATGTTAGGCTATAGTTACTAAAATGAGATGTTTCACTGTGAATCTTATCGTTTTTGCTTTCACTTCGATCAACAGAGCACTGGTGCTTTGACGCAAGTGTATTTTCTTATTCATCTGTTTAGGAATTCCCGTTTCGATTCACTTCTCATTCTGTCTTGCCTGTTTCATTGTGTAGCGTCTGTAACGTAATAGGAACAGTTTGGGACAGTGTATAGTACTACTGAAACATCCAGTATATTGTATCAAAAAGCACTGTGTTGACAGGTGTTTTTTTTTTCCAAAGTACAGTCAAACTGTGTATGTTAAACTGTACATGACACCTTCTAACCAAGTGGCCTGACTTGTACAAATTATTACTTTAC